CAGGGTCCTGCCTCCGTAGTTTGCTTTACATTTGAGTATGAGTATTGAGAGAAAATGAAAAAAGAAAAAGAAAGAAAGAATTGCTTTCCCACATAGCATCCCTGGGTGAAGTTCTCAGGCCTGCCCTATAGACAAGGTCACACTGGGTCTTGTAGGAGCCAAACTCTATTAATCTATAAATAGCCCATGAGAAAAATTTTTGAGTTTAATATTTGTGTGAAAGACACTGAGATCTCAAATATCTCAGCAGAAAGTTTCACAATCTTTTTTTTCCATCGCACATGCTAAGACTGACCTGTAATAACCTCCCAACAACCACTCTTGACAGAGATGAGGATCTCTGCTCGTGGCTCTGTGCTGCCATAACCCAGCCTAAAGACTCCACGTTTGGGCTAAAACAACATGTCCAGCTCAACTGCAGAAAAAAAAACCATATATCAAGGTCCAAATGGAGGGGTAACTAGTACACCCTGGTTAGATCAGACTATTGCCTCTCTTTTAGAGAAAAGAATTATGGGCAACTAGTGTTACATGGAAGCCATTGAGGAATTCAGGTCTCTCATCATAGGACAATATAGATAATTAGGGGTTAATATACACATAAAAGCTCAGGAGAACTCAAGCTTCAAAATTTACTGAGAGAGACCAAGGAAATCAATGGACAGCAAAAGCGGTTCATGTGCCCAACATTGCTGGATGGAGACCGTCCAGCGTCACAGAGCTGGAGACCAGCTGGACATGCACCTCACACGTGCTCTGGGATCCACATATCCATAACGTTACTGCACCCACTCAAGAACTGCCAAACCACTACTGCACTGCCAGAGTCACTCATTGAGTCTTCTCTACAAGTAATGCCTAGGGTTTGAAGTATAAAAAGTACAGATAAGAGACTACTATACTTATTTATGTCAGTTAGAGCTCTTAATCAACTAAGAAAAATAAGGAAAAAAAGCTTATCTAGAATACTGATCGAAATTAAGCTGGTACAATCAAACTATCTGCCACAACCATCCTGTTTAACAAGATAAAGGTGTTTCTTGTTCAGACTGCTTTGAATATCTCAGTTCTAATTAAAAAGCTTCTATCTGCTTCCTTAAATTCGAGTCCCAGTTCATGAAGCCTATACAAATAGCATCAAACCAGAAGGGTTGCCTTGAGTTACAAAACTGGGTTTTCAAGTAGCTGTTGCAGTTGGTTGATGGGGTCTTTCTAAAATATCTACAAAATTCTCTAACAGCCAACTGAGCTTAAAACAGAGCTGGCTCCTGCAACCACCTGGCTACTGTCTTTGCAAATGTTTCCCGGGCCAAGCAGGAAAAGCGCTGCAAGATTTTTGCATAAATGGAGAAAAAAATCCACCTTTCAAGGCGGTGCTGCTCCCAGAAGGACACACTGACCTCCAAAGCAGGCAGCGCGCTCGGAGCTGGCACAGGGACAGTGCTCCAAGGTCACTGTGTCTGGGGAAGGACCTGCTCCTCCTTAAACAGCCCCACTATCTGCCAGGGGTTACAGGATCCAAATAAAACACCTTCGGCCAAGTCCCTCTGCTGCTTCCCTCCCTTCCTCCTCCTCTATCTGTTATTACAGCACATGGAAACTGCTCTCAGTGTCACTTTAGCAGTAGGGTAGGGGCTTCCTGTCAGCTCCGGGACCCCTGAGCTTAAAAGCAGCTGCCGTAGGTAGATGCCAATCTGCTTGTTGCTGCTGGCTAATGTACTAAAGAGCATTCAGGAAATGAACGCAGCAGAAGATAACTTTAGCACCACGACTGCTGCAGGACTGCATCTTCTTCGGCTTTCACAGAATTATTTTGCAACAAATTGTGTCAAATGTACGTTGTTTTCAGACCATTCCTGGGGGTAGTTTTTCCCTGTTCGCTCTCTGCCTTTGTGAACACTCACGTACACCACCACCCCCCACCAAAACAGAGATTTAAAGGATTTTTTTTCTTCCAAATGTGCATATTGCTTCAAATTTTTCCCCCTGATTTAGCTGTGTTCATCATACAGTGAACGAAGTTTAACAGCAGAGTGTTAAGTGTGGGAGAAGCTCCAGAAGTGCCTTGCCGCAGGACTCTCCCTTCCCCAAGGTCTCTGCAGCTCCCAACCAGCAACCATTTGCCCACAGACACCCCAGATGGTCACTTCCCGTTCTCACCCAGCTGCCTGCCACAAACAAAACAGAAACAAGCCCGTCCTGCCCCTGCCTGGCCCTGTTTCCAGAAGGAGCCCAGGTCCGGGGCCGGGAGGGCTGCTCCTCACCACAGGCAGGCAGCAGACGGGGCCGCCGCCTCAGAGGGCCCCACCGGCCAAGCCCGTTCGCACCGAGCGCCTCAGCGCTGCCTCGTGTCCCCGGGGCCCCTTCCCGCCCTCGGCCACCCCCATGTGCTCACCCCGCCATTATGTCCTCCTTAGGAACGTGAGGAAGGACCCCCTCAACTCCAGCATACGCACCTAATATGCCTGCTCTTCCCACCTCTTCTGTAAAAAAACAAACAAGCAAACAAAAAACACGATTTTGCCACTCCTGACGGTGAAAACCCTCCCTCAAAGGAAACACAGCCCAACATTACTCTACCTGTGATACTCTGCCGTTATTTGTTTTGCATGGCCTACATATTTTCCAGAGTAGGCATAAGCCCTGCACCAGCTGCACTTACCTCCTCTCTTCAGCTGTGACTGCTACAAGAAAAAAATGAGCACAGGTGGCTGCTATTACCTAATAAACTCGAAAGTAAAGAGGAAGAAATAGCTGAAGGTGAAGTGTTCAACCCAGATAATCACAGCTCTTTATTGCATGTGGGTACATTGGAGACTGGTCTCTTCTTGTAAAGTGGGTTTATTTATTAAGAGGGAGAAATCCTTTCATTTTATAATACCTTAAGATCACAGTACAGTTTCCATTGCCTTATTAAAAAATAAATAAAGGCATTTAATTGTCAAAAGCTTTCTAGAAGGTTGCAGTTTCCACCAGGAACCGTCACTAGTTTTGCAATATCCGATTTTTCTTTCAAGCAATCTTTTAAAACCTGTATCTGCAAGGCTTTCACAAATGCAAGCAAGGCCACCTGCGTGTCCCCAGAAGGAGACATCTCGACAATGTTTCCTGGATGACCCCACGTCTTCCTGTAACAGACTTGCTGTGCACGAGCAAGCAGAGCTGGGGAACAGGGTAGAGGACTGGACAACACCAAGTTTAAAACCAAGGTCAGGACACTTTGGTAGTGATGCCGCAGTGTCCTAGTTCCTCTCCCTTTTCCATTTCTTCCTTTTATTCAGACAACTGTCAGGAGACTTGAATAATTCTTAATGGTCTTCTACTGCATCAAAAAATGACACCATGCCTCATTCCACCATCTCCAGCCTTGCCAGCCTTTCCCTGTATCCTCCACACAATGTTGTGCAACATCTTGCAAGGACTTGGTGCTTCAAATGGCAGCATTATACACGGAGAGAAATCAAGAGGCTGTTTCAGGAGAGACTTCAGGAGGCACAAGGCTTGAGCTAGGGCCTGTTACTGCCCAGCAACCTAAAATTGGCTCCTCTGAATACCAGACTCAACTTGCACTTTGTACGAGATCTGTATCTGTGTAGCCAGCACACAAAATAAGAGCTATCACTGGTCTATTTTAAGGTCTGTCATAATTCCTGTAAAAACTCTACATAGAGCACAAGCTGATCAAACACTGGGGGCCTGGCCAAGATTCGTAGCCTCGTGTTGGACACGTTGTGGCCAGGGCAGCACTACCTGACCACGTAACTGAGACAGGAGCGTGCAGCAAGGCAGCCTTACAGCTTGCTCACCCTGCGAAACGGGGCTGCTGCCTGCAGAGGAAACCCGCAGGAGGGCCACGCGCCACCGCGACGGGGGCTGCTGCCTCGTACAGACACGGGAACGCGAACCGCTCCGGCTCCAACGCCGCCTGCTCTCGTGCAAGCCCGCTGTGAGTCTCCGGGGTTTGAGCAGTAGCTACATTGTGCCTCTTTCAGGTCAAAACGGGCCTACAACCTCACAGGATTTATTAAAAACTGAAGAGCTTTTATCAACATGACAAAATGCAGCAGTATGGAGCAGGACTGAGGATGCACGTGCGCCTCACACATGCACGGAGCCCCTGGAGGGGCCGCTTCCACCACAGCACCAGAGGGGCACCAAGGCCGTGTACAGTGGCACTGAGGCACAGCCTGCCTTAGGCTCCCTTTGGGGACGCAAAACAGACATCCCCATTTGGGGAACGTCTTCCCAAAGTGCTTCAAAAAGCCTTTTTCTGTACCAAGCAGAACACTCCACTGGAAAAGTAAATGTTCACATAAATTTATTTTATATGATTAAAAAAAAATCAAAGTAAAAAGTTTAAAAATCTCTCACATGAATCACTGAATTGTGAATTGCCTTCCCCTTCATTTGCTAAAGCTACCACAATGATTTCAGAAGGTCTTAACATTAGAGAGGAAGTTGCCACAGTTGCTCTACCTGTATACAAAATCAAGTATTTTGGACTAAGAGTTTAGCTTATCAGTACCCAGCCTTGACAGTGTTTCCATAAGTTGGCCCTGCTCCAAAGAGCTCCAGGATCTAGCTTTTAAGCTTTTCTTTCTTGTTCTTAAATGGACTAGATTGTCATTTGTCATAATCCCTTTGAGGCAGCCTGACCTGCATCAGTATTTGATCCAGACGCGGTGACCGCTGCTCAGAAAGCATCTCCTGCATTTCGTGTTCCCCTCCGTGGGTGAGATCGTGACATCCATCTGTCAAATGAGCCTGGCTCCACGAGGAGTAACCTCACGCACACCCCCAAACAGACGTACCGCAAGGCCGTAAAGGGCCTAAAGTTCAAGGATTGCACGCAACAGAAGTCTTAAGAGCAGGTGTTGCAATATGGAAGAGCTGTCAAAACACACCAGTGTTGAGACCTAATAAATTCGACAACCCTGATTTAAAAAGTGCTTTTTTTAAAAAAAAAAAAAAAAAAAAAAAGAAGAAACAAGAGGCCTAACCACAGCACAGACTGATTTGTTAACAGTGTACGTTTCGGAAGCCGGGCAAGGTGACTTTCCCGTGCGTGTAGATATCCTCGTCTGTGCCCTGGTTGAGATGCTTCACCAGGTTTTTCTCGAAGAGCAGCGGGTGGTAGGCCCCCATGGTGCAGGCACGGTCGTGGAACTTCTGGTAGTAGTGGCAGATGTCCGTCTGCCGCTTGGAGGGCAGGAATTCATACACGTGCACTTCGTCGCAGAGGGACAGCATGATCACAATGCCTACGAGGGAAGGAAAAGGGACGCCCCCAGTTAAACACACAGAAGTAGCAAAAACACCTCGCTGGGACAAGACATTCAAGTCCTGGCTCAGGCAAGACATTCAAGCAAGAAGCGTCCAAGTCCGATGGGAAAGGTTTCCTTTCTGAAAGTTCAGACCAGAGAGAAAGAAAATAATATGTCTGATGGGGCTATGTTCTCAACTCCCTCTTGCAAAGCAGATGATCAGTCTGACTAAAGTGGGGAATTTACAGAGATGGCCACTGCTACAGGCCAACATTTGAGACTGCTGCCATTTTCCAGGACCTTCACAGAGCCTTGGGTGTCTGCCAGTTGTAAGCTACATTAGCTGATGCAACTTGTCCAACTCAGATCTGCCTGGATAAGCAGAGATGAGACCCTCACCCATTCCCATTTGCCTGCAGCTAATACAGAAGATACAAAAGTGATGTTTGCAGATGGTCTCAGTATCAATGCACATAGCATTAAACCAGAAAGCTGCTCTTTGAGCTCATCCAGATTCCCCGCGACAGAGCAGTGCTGCCCTCCTGTGTCTTCCAAGAGGCACACTAACCACTGTGGAGTCCACGTCACACACAGCTGTGGCCAGAAAGTTGACAGAAATAAGCAATATTTATTGCCTGCTTAACCAATGTGCAAGAACTACTAAGAACATGACGAGGAAATAGAACCAACATATAACATCTCTTTAAAATTCATGCACTATCTTCAGGAACACTGAATTCATAAGACTTGACTGGAACCTATTTTTGAGGCTGCTTGTTAAATTAAAGTACATTTTAAAAACATTTTCATCCACCTTTCCAGACAACAATTTCCCTCTCCACTGATCCTTCCAAGAAACCCACGGTGGCAAGCCAGGATCTGGCTTTGTTCCCTTGTGTCCATTGCGGTCACTTCTTCCAAATAGGGCCTAAGTTGGCCCAAAGTTAAGTCACAGAGGAACTTGTTGTCACTACTGGGCCAGAGCCCTGCCTTTGAGCCCCTGCTTCAGTTCTCAGTGATTATGTTCCTGCAATCAGTGACTGTACTGTTATGCTGTTGTCTTGCACGCATCCAAGAAAGGATGTAACATGTGATAGGCAAGATCTAAGAAGAAAACTAGAAGTTTAGTTGGCAGAAATAGGAAGTTCCTCTGTTTACACACATGTCCACATGTGTCACAAGACAGGAGTAGAGCAATGGCTGAAGTACAGCACTCCAGGAGGCCTGTGAACAAGACCACGGCGCTATGTTCTCATTTCAGATACCTGTTGGTCCCAAGGAGTTCTCTTCATTTAGCTGACGATGACATTTGCCTTCCAACAGGAAGGAAAAGCTTTGCAACAGCAGGATGTAAAATGAGTTGCTTTTTGGAGAGGCTGAATTTAGCATGCTGACAAGCAAGATCAGCATGCTGAGTAAGGGGGGACTGACCTTGCCAGGGTGACTCTTCTGTTTGATCAGCCCCAACACTCCATTATGTCTTTAACTACATACACAGCTGGTAAACACCTAGGTTTCATCTGCAGCAGACTGCTTAATTTAACACAACTGAGCTGCTACTTTTAACACAGGAAGCTTGGTTTCTGGCATGAGACTGCATAAGCAACTTTGATAAGCTCTTTGGCTTCGAACAACATAAACCCAGGGCTGTCTTTAAAACAAGCACAGTGTTCCTGGGCAGGCAGTAGCGAGGGTTATTGTCTCACCAAGCATTCCCGAAGAAGGTGGATTCGGCTGAATGTGCTCCAGGGAATTCTCCTGCAGAATATCCCAGAGTTGCCACTGCATTTTGGGATTCAGGATGTAAAAGGGCTGCTCTGGATGTTTAATCCGATACCGCTTGTAGTTTTCAAAGAATTTGTAGTCTGGTTTTCTGTACCACTGGAAAAAAAAAGAAAGAGAAAGTCAGAGCCTTTTATTTCCCATGATCAATATTATATAAGATGGCTTAAGATGACCTAAGCTCCTGCTGCCGCCAAGGAGGAAGGCCATCTCTGCACGCACACACACACACACTTGTGCTCTCGCTTCCTCCCATATCTGCTCTTCAAATTAGCAAGGTGACTCGCCTTGGCAAAGAGAGCAAGAGGAACCAAAACTCCTCTCTTTGGCAGTGAGGGACCATTAAATGAGCTGAGCCTCACATAGGCTTAACCGCCGCTGTCGTTTTGTTAGAAACATCAGCCCCATTTCTGCATTTTCCCCACGCATCACACGCCCTGTCCTGCAGCTGGCTCCTCTCTGACCAGAGCCCACAGCTGCATCGACACAACTGTGGGCAACTGTGCTGTGAGCTGGACCAAGCAATGGGTCGGTCTCAACAATAAATAAATAGATACATAAATGAAATCTGGAAATAAAGCTTGAACCAGATGAGTTGCCCGATCAGGCCGACCATACAGCCACTGCAACCACAGAAAGGGTACCAAACAGCAAGATGAAAGACTTGAAAATGTACCACCAGCAGGAAAACAAACAAATAATAAAAAACAGTCCAAAGCCCAAGCCCACCCACCGCAGACGAGGAGATACGTTCAGCAGTCTGCCTGACGGGCCATCAGAGTCCTTGCCCCAGGCCTCTCGCAGTACCAAGCATCCTGTTTGGATACAGGTGTCATCAGCACAGCCTTACAGAACAGGCCGAACTGATTTGCACCGCACGACACTTCCACTTTCAGTAAAAACACTGAGGAAGGGTTTATCTTTTCTTAAAGCCCTCTAGAGATTTTTTCCCCCTATGCTAAAAATATGTCATCCCCATTTAACTCGCTCTTAAACACAGGGTGCAAGCACCTTGTGTCTCCTGGAAATGTGGAACTAGATGCAAGGCCAAGTGCGGGTGAGAAATCGAGATGGCAGCCCAGGGAGAAGACTCACCAAGATCTCCTGGGCATGGAAAGAGCCTGGACTCAAGGCAGGGATCAAGGCCTACTCGCTTGGCTGTGCTCGCCCTGGGTCAGCCTCTGCCATATCACTTACTGCGTAACACCCTGCGCGCTCAGAGAGCAAAGGCAGCTCTAGAGGGATGCAACACCCACAGGTGAGAACCTAGCTGACGGGGAGGCACATCCACCGGGATCTTGAAGGGGTTTCTGAATCCTTCCATAATGCATCGAGTACCTCTCACGTCTGGCTAGTGCCTTTAGGTACCCAAGCATCTGCTGACAACAACCCTTAAAGCAACAAGCAGAAAGAGGAGCTCAGTCCCCGCTGTGAGTTTGCAGCCGCTGCAGCCAGCCGGGGTCCCCTAGTTGTGGTGTCAGCCCTGGGAAAGTGGCGGTGGGGACACATCCCCAGGCCCGTGCAGTGATCGAGGGCTGCAGCTTGGACACACGCGCGGCGGGTGTTTGCAGAGGTACCTACAGGAACAGCCGCGAACGCTGCACCCGTACAGCGGGTACGTTTGGGGCACGAACGCAGCCTTACCTCACCCACGTCGGCGTGATACGGCGCCGGGTCCCACACGATCAAGGTTCCAGTGTTATAGAGCGCGTCTGTCAGGAACTGCTGCTCCTCCACAGTCACCAGCTTGAACAACAACGACAGATACGTACACACAGGTTGGGCCTGCTGCCGAGCAAGCAGGAGCAGTAAAACATCCCCAAATTCCGCTGCTGGCCCTGGGCTGGCCCCAGCACACGGATGAGCCCTGCAGCGGGGCCGCGAGCCCAAACTGCCCCGCCAGCCCCGAGCACAACGAGCTTTCCATGATAAACAAAATGAGATGACAAAAATAGTTAAAAAAAATAAATAAATAAAACAAGGTAAGACATCCTGTATGCCTTAGATTCCTCTGGACACAAGAAGCATGGCTCTTTACACCCCTGGCTAATTCTGGTTTGCAGAAGAAAGTAAACAGAGTCAGAATCGAGTGAGAAGGGGTTGGTCCCCTGCCATCCCCTCCCATAAACACAGTCCATACAGACACAGCTTGCAAACATCTGCTTAAGAGAAGCACTGCTATCAAAAATCAACTCCCTCCTTGTCCTGGTTTTCTCCTAGCATCTAAGAGCCAGGCAATTTATCCCTAAGCGCTCAGGGTGCCCCTAGCAGCCAAGCGCTGTCCTGGCCAGCCCAGATGTGCACGGTCCCCTGCACATCTGCTCTCAATTCCCAAGGATTAGCCCTGGCCACGGGGACCCCGCACGGCTTCATTTCCTCCCGGCAGTTGGAGTATCTGGGTCGCTGCGGCGCTGCAGGACGCACACTCCGGCCACGGGAGCAGCCGGCCAGCGCGGAAACAGGGCGGGCAGCACCGGCATCCCCTTTGCATTCCCTTGGTTCTATTTAAAGGCTAGAAACCTTTCAGGAACTTTTCCTGGAAAAAATGAAAAAAAAAAGGACTGATGGGAAAGGAGGCCTCAAAGGATATGGAGCATTAACCATCAGAGAAAGAAAGTTACAAGGAAAGGCAGACCAAGTACAAGCAGGTTGAGTTAGCAGAGGTACCCTGAGAGCTGCCCACAGCAGAGGAGCAAGAAATGGGGCGGATCTTTGCAGCATCAGTTTAGTTACCAAGCTGCTCGAGTACCTTGGTTAAGTGACTATCTGGCTCACCGGATACCATTAGTGCCCATTTGTTCTGCTTAATAGCGTGATAGAGTCTCGCCAAGTAGTTAAATGCCATTCAGATTGCAACCTCGCTCATTTGTCTTGCCCAGCTGTTCTGATCCTAATCAGTTAAGTAATTCATGGGTTTCCTGGTTGGACCTGGGTATTTAAATAATTCGCTGTTTAGCAAACACGTAGCTAATGCAGCACCTGCCTTCCCACTGCGTTTACTGCCTGTACCAGACGTGCTCCCGTACCCTGCTCCTGCAATCCCTGACCTACAATCCAAACGGGGGCCCCTTTCCCACCACTACCTCACTATTTCCTCTTGCTTCCTCCAGAGAGGAACACAGCCCAGCTGGGCATGTGCCCCATTGAGCCACGCAGGGCTGAAAGTGGGGCTGGAGGAACCAGATACCTGCCGAGAGGCTCCCATAACGGTGCCTCCTTGCCTGCCCCCGAGATCTCCAGCCTTATTTCTGCAAGATGCAAACGCTGTCCCAGAGCAGGTCTGTCTTGCATTAGACTGCAAGAAAAAATGCCATTAAAAGAGGCAATACAGACTCACCAGGAAAGATCAAAGGAAATGAGCAAGACAATGCTGAAGAACTTCTTTATTTAGGCACACTTGCAGGCCTAAACTAACTACCAAGATTCTCCTTGAATACAGAACCTCAAATTCCTTCTTCTAGTACCAGTCTATTAACATTTCCCTTTAAGCACAGATGCAGAAGGTACCCCACTACTGCTAAAGCCATTTCCCCCCACCCCAACATTTGCTAGAGACTGGTCAGCAACTGGGAACTATTCCCTATCTGTTTGGTTTTGCTCAGTACATAAAGTTACATTAAAATAGTTGTTAAACAGCTTTGGTCTCCTGGCTGCACGTGCCACAGGGATAGTATTTAACACAGGCTGGTTTAGATTCAGGATATCTTGTTTTCTTCATTTTAGTAATAGCTTGATCAATAATAGGAGTCAACAGAAGAAGAGCCAATACATACACCCATCTTTGCTCCCAGGGACCACTTCCAACATGAGAAAAGCCAACTCCACAACAAGAACAAGTCACAAATGTACTAAATACATCCTGCCCATCCAACTGTAATTACAGTTTTATTCTTCTCCCTGTGCAAATAACCCTGGCATAGTGCAGCTCACACATATTTTCACCAGTAAATGACTTTATACCACAATAAGGTTTGGCTATCGCTCTTTCTTCAGAGACTTTTCTGAAGCAGTAACTAACCTATCTGACTTTGTAAAGGTACACACAGAGGGAAAAATACAGCATGGAAAGATCAAAAAGGGCAGAGGAAGAAGTATGATAACAGCCAGATGTCTGCCAAGAAGAGATTACTTCAGAAGGAACAAGCTTCTGACTGCTGTGCCACCTCCGAACGCTGCGTTAGCCCAGGGGAACGGAGACGTGTAGAGCAGCCAAGCAGAGCACCACAGCGGGAGGAGAGGGCAAGAGCCAGGAGGAGGAGCAGATAGCAGGAGGGTTTGTACAAGGAGCAGGAACGTCCTTTAAGAGAAACCAGACTTGCAAGGGGAACTGGCTGAAAGCCAGTCGGGCACTGGCTCCACATCTTTCCCTCAAAACGGATGGCCAAGGTCCTGGTGCTGCTTTGGGAAGCTTCAAACCTCGTTCCACAGCAGCACCCACCGGCCCCATCAGACAGGGTGGACAAGACACTTGGACACCTAGAGATGTCAGCTTTGGGATGAGCAAAGCCGCCCACCTCACCACTGCCACAGTTTCTGTCCCTCCTCTTTCCCCTGTCATCTTCCTCCTCCATGGTCCCACCACTGTCCATCCCTGTTTCTAGGTTTCTCTGCACTGCAACGCTGCAGCAGTTTTGACCCAAGCGACTTGACTTTATTTTGTATTTTACTCTCCCCTTCCTTTCTCTCAGCAGCACAAACTATTGAGATTTACGTTTGAAAATTTCTCCAGAACAACAACAACAAAAGGACAAGCACTGTAAGTGCAACAGCTGCATGGAAGTAGGACATAAACAGTCTCCTAGACTGTGCCTAGGAGAGCAAGGGTCTGTGTGGTGGGCTTTCCCTAGCCCCTGAACACGTAGTTTACTATCCCTGACACTGCACTGCTGAACTGGGCTCTTAAAAACTGACGAAGTGCTTCAAAGCCTGCTGAAGTCAAAAGCTGGATCAGCACAGAGTGCCTCACCTCCAGGAAAAGCTCTCAAAGAGCCTGGGAAAACCGCACTTCGGAAGCGCTCTCTTGCATTAACAAGTGCTTTCTGCCATGCTCTGCTCCAAGGCCCTGGATGGACAGAGGACACCAAAGAGCTCATACACCCGGCCCTGTGCAGGCTACGGCAGACAGGGCCAGGTATCTGCAGGATTTAACAACCCTGGTTAACGTGCTATCCACAGGGCCCAACAGGGCCTATTGTGCAAAGCAGAGGTTTTTTTTTTTTTTAAAGCAAATGAAGACCTTTGGGACTTCACACCCGTCACTGGGACAGGTACAACTCACCTCTTGAGACATTTAGTTTGCTTGGCTGCTGGTGCCCTGCATGCCCATAGGGCAGAAGCAAGCACACAACCGGCCTTCGTAAACTTAGAAAGAGGATTTTGGCCAAGCCAAAAGTTGCAGTAAATGGCAAACACGATAATGCAGACTAGCCAGCACACAGCAATTTCACTGCAGTGACCTCAGCACACATTTCAGCTACGGGAGAAAGCTTTGTGTGCTATTGCCCTTCACAGGGGAGGTCAGAGTCCCATCCTATACATATCTATACAGAGGGAAAAGCAAAATTACACACAAACTCTTATTTTCCCCAACTTCACTTTAAAGAAGTCCTAGTGGCAGACGAGCAGCAGCTTTCAGCGTGCGGAGGTGGGTGCTGCCAGCCCAGGCTGCCACTCATTCCCAGCAGACAGGGGGGATGCACAGAGCTCCGCCGAGCTCCATCCCTTCCGCAGGCATCAGGCAGACCCACCTGGGAGTTAACAAGACGAACTGTTGTCTTTTCCCCCACATCTTCGTGAAATCCCTTGGTAGGAGCCCCGTTAAACCGTAAGACGGCATCGTGGCTGTCTGAAAGCAAAAAAAAAAAAAAAAAAAAAAGTTAAATATATATTTTTTTTCTTCTGAGATACAAGAGCTACATGCAGCAAGTTACTTCTCTGGATTTCCAATACAACCTGGCTATCCACAGAAGACTTCCCATGCAACTACTGGAACTACCAAGCCAGGCCCTGTGTTAGAAGCTCTTGGCCTAACTTCACGAGTAATATTTTTAAATTTGCTTTTTAAAAATACCACCTGCTCACAAGTTGCGAGCGCAGCCCTAACACCCACAGCGCACAGAGGAGCGCACGTCCCTCTCCCTCTCCTGCCTTCCTCCCCCTCTACTCTGCTCTGGTAGTTACTCCGCGCTGCAGTAACTGGGTGCAGCTCTGGGCTCGCCAGCACACGAGGGACGTGGAGCTGCTAGAGAGGCTCCAGGGTAGAGCAACAAAGGTGCTTAAGGGACTGGAGCACCTATCGTATGGGGAAAAGCTAAGCGAGCTGGGCCTGTTTGCACCAAGCTTTGGGACCCGCTGCCCTCTCCGCTGCTGGCATCGCCCCGGCTCCCTCCTCTGCACCCACAGTCACCCACGGTGCTGGTGGGGCACCCATGGCTCAGCTCCGAGGCGCTGCTGCCCTGGCAGGAAGGCTGCACGTGCCCTTCACCCTGCTCCAGACCTGCTGCCTGAACTCGCATAGGAGACCACGGGGACCCACCTGCTGACACCCTCACCCTCCCTGTGCTCATGTGATGGATGCGTCAACCGCAGCTTGTTCCGCCTGCTGCTGATGGCAGTGGAGAGGATCAGATGGTGGAAAACTGCTTGGGCTGCCCCCAAACCAGCTGTGGAACAGCCTGACCAACATCTTGACCGTTTTGAGGAAGAAAGGGGCGATCACACGAGCAGTTCTGGAGGAACAGTAACTGCTTGCAGAGAGGACTTGTTCCTCAGCTGCTCACTCTCACGGACAAGTGGATCTTGTTTAGGGTCCTCTCAAAGCAGCACACAAAAGCCAGAAGAGCAACGTTTCCAAATACAAACGGTGTCCGCATTGAGAAGTCGTGTGGCTACCGTTACAGACCCTCAATCCCACATCCCACCTTTCAGCTGTCAGTGCAGCACAGCCACACAATTCCCCCGCACATTTTGAGCCAGAAACCAAGCATCCTTAGGTCCTAAATTTATGCTTTAAAGCCTATTTACTGCCTGCCACGTGATGAGCACTGCGCCGAGCCCAGTGCAGGCAGAGCACCCAACTCTCAGCATTGTCCCCATCAAATCCATGGGCACTGAAGGAGACTGTGATTCACCGGTGATGGAGATAAGGAGCTGCCTCTTCCCCTCCACCCTATGAGCCTTCTTCATTGACTAATTGTGCATTTCATTTCCTTAAGCAATCATGGCAATTACGCACAGCAAATATTTCTCAGGCCTTTAAGCAATAACAGTTCTGTGCTCACCCAGGCCTCAGCAAACACTCAATTTTCCACATGTCTGATTTAATACCTTTTTGACAACTTCCTCCAACACAGCTATACCTTTCTCTATATGGAAATAGCTTAGGAAAAAAAAAAAAGTAAGTGCCCAACCCTATACACACCACGCACCCAGCTCAAGGGGTTGTAATAAGACAAGTCTCTAGGTTTTAAGTGGTTGTAGCTTTGCAGTCTTTCAGCCAAAAGGCAATGTGGCCAGGGACATCAGCAAGAGTTAATGGAAAAAAACATTTGGCACATTAGACGACAACCTCTTAAGACTTCATCCATGGTGATATGGGGCAAACTGGTGCTTTGGTTTAAAACACGGTCACAGAAACTGGCTGCAGGGACAAAGATACTGCCTCAGCACATAACACCTTCTGGCAACTCAAGTATTGAATCCAGCACTTTAAAGAATGGAATTACAACACACTTAAAAAGAACAGACAAAAATAAAAATAAAAACAAAGATCTATGAAAAAAAATCCCAACATCTGAAGATCCTGAAAGGATCCTGCTTTGGAGGCGCAAGCAGGAGTCTCACAGCAACAAGCAGGAGTCTATCAAAGATGCCTTTGCAATCAAGGCAGCTGTGTCACACCTGTGTCACTATGAATGGAACCAAAAAGATCTGGGTCATTTCTGGAGAAACCTTTAGCTATTCAACTTCAAGGGGCACCTCACCTCAACAATCCAAAACAGCCACTCAGAGAAAAAGTCATGACCGACTTCCCAACCTTGACCTACTCAGCCTCAAATGCTCTAAGAAGCCTCTATGTTTGACTAGGTTAATCAACTCTCAGCCGTCGGTTTTGCCACAATCTCCCTCCTGGTTAATATTGCCACTGTTTTTCATAGCATCTATCATAGTATCTTAACACCCTTCGGAGACTGTTCAACCTCATTCCAGCACCCTCTAAAGCTTCTCCTGTAGTTATCCCTGCCTTGGAGCAAGGGACGGTCTTGCCCTGATGGTTAAAGTGCCTCCTGTTCTGCAGGTTCAGTCAGGAAGCAGGTGGCTCTGAAGCAGCAAGGTAGCTTCATTGCAGGTACTTCAGCACGGTCCTGTGGGCAGGAGCTGAACTTTGCTGCTCTAACAGCAGCGAGGACACCCACCCGAATCAAAGTTGAAGGAACATCTTGCACAGCCACCTCTGCAGTGCTGAGAGACATATTGCTAGAGCTGTGACCCAGAAAACCTGCAGCAGCAGTAGGCCACCTTATACCATTTAGCACATCGAGGTGACAGTGTGGACCTTGGCCCTTGGGCCACCCAAACTCAGCTGCTGCCTCACGGCTTGGGATGAGCATCCTGCAGTGCCACTCTTGAGACCCATGATCAAACCAACAGCATCACTTCCATGCTTGGAAGCGGGGGCCAGCCACCCATGCTTAAACCAGGGTCAGCCTCAGCAGACCGTGTCCAGTTGGGTTTTCAAGCATCTCCAGAGGCCTTTCCCTTCAGTGTTTTCCTTGTCTTCATTCTCTG